CACACACACACACACACACACACACACGGGGACCGTGCATTGTCTTCCATTCATTTTTTGGAAATTTTATAGCCTAACTCTGACCTTTTACCCTAAAATTAACCTCACAGGTACCTTACCTGACCCTAAAACTAACCTAAACTCAATTCACGCCTTGGTCCTAAACTCCCCACACATAATTTGCATTTGTACCCATGGGGACCGGGCATTGGTCCCCACATAGCTGCTTTTTCAGGAAAATTGTCCCCACAGCATAGGAAAAATGTGTCCACAWACACATTTAAAGCACACCACGAATATACAAAACAGTAGCAGTGCAGACAGAATGTGAGGTTATGTAACATTATCTSGCTGTGAGACCTTGTTAATGGTTTCTGTTTGTCCCAGCTGCTTTAGAAGATAAAACACTCTGCAGGGTGAGGAACAGACAAAATACAGGGTCGGTTAGAGTCTGAGGAAAATATGGGAGGAAATTCCAGCTCCACCAGCTCAAACAATTACTCTGGTAAACAGTTTACAGCTGCTTCCTTTTTTCATGACATGCAGTACACCACTTTTATGAGCAACTCTTATTTTCTTTTGCCTGAATCAAACCACAGGGACTTATTTACATTAAGGAGACATCACAGAAGTTGAAACTTCAGGAGCTTCACGGAAAACAGCTCAACAGGACCAGCTGGGTCACGATGGTAAGCAGACAGGGTCGAGATGTTTTCCTCTGACAGTTCGGTGCCAAACCTTAAAGCGTTCAGATTCACTCGTATTTTCTCACCACATCCAGTTCAGCTTTCTGTCTGCGACCACCGGCCGTGATTCCTTCACAAAACAGAGCCTTTGTTGCATCGAGGCCACAACACCTGTTCTCTGTTCGACTTGTCTTCAAAGGTAAACGAGCCTCTCACACGATGGCAGAGATGGACGAAGAAAGGATGAAGAGACACAAGTCGATGATCTGCACAGTAGCAGGCGAGTTTGAGATCGACCCAGCTCTCATCGCTGCCATCATCTCCAGAGAGTCCAGGGCAGGAAACGCGCTCAACAACGGCTGGGGAGACTGGAATTTTAAAAAGGARGGAGWACAACRCCTGGGGACTGATGCAGGTTAAAAACACATCATCTAACGACTCACTCATACAGGTGCTGGACATCAATTGCTCCAATTTTCTTTGTGTTTGCACAGGTTGACAGGAACCCAGAAGGAGGCAGACATGATCGTGAAGGACACTGGAACAGTGTGGATCATCTCTCCCAGGGGGCTCGGATCTTGGTTGGTTTTATCAACAACATACTGTTATGATTTGTGTCTGTGCTTATRATTTAGTCTAAGTTTTCTGTCTTTTCCTCCTGTTTTCTTCCTCCTGTCTGCCTTTGCTCTAGCCCCGCCCACTCACACCTAATCCTCATGTTTCTTCCCCAGGTGTTTCTTGTTTTACCTCATTAGTTCTTCCTTTATATTCTGTCCTTCGTCCTCAGTCTTTGTCAGATCCTTGTTCTCTGTTTACTGTTTGATGTTCACGTTCCTGTCCAAAGACCTTGTTCTTGTTCGCTGCCACGTCAGCACCTTTGTTTTTGTTTTAATAAACCTTTTTTGCCACCCTCACTCAGTCTTGCATCCTGGGGTTCAAACCAACGAAGCTCAACCGTAATACATACGGAAAAAATTTCCCAATTGGAGCAAAGAGCAGCAGCTGAAAGGTCACTTTTTGTTTTTTTTTACATGAACGTTTGCACTCATCAGTTTTTTCCCCTTATCTTCATAGTCGGTTTGGTTTTCCTCCTGCAGGAGGGATAGCAGTGTAGCAGTAACTTGGAGTGGAATGTAATGCTCCAAACTCTGGCCATCACATGACTCTGCCCATGCTTACAAAGAGAACAGTGATTTGATTCATTTACCTCCAAAACCATTGTTTACTATCTACGACTGGTAAGATAACGACAGGATGCGACAGAGACCTTCTGTTGTTGAATACAGTGAGAACTCTTTGATGTATTCAAACATGGCCGCTTATCACAAAAGAACTCAAGTTTTAGCAGACATGAAGTCTAGCAGAACGGGTCTGCTAGTGAGACAAGCCCTTTTAAGCCAGACCCCCTGGTGATATATATCTCTAGGGCCTACATCAAAACATTGTTTACATACCACCTCATTTTCGGTACCACAGCGCCCCCAGGAGACTGTTTTATACCTACACCATAATCGAATGTTTTTCTGCATTTTTGTTTTTCTTTCTTTTCTGTCATTCTGATAAAAAAAAAAAAAGAATCATTGTATTTTCTACGTGACTCAATCATGTAAAACAATGTACTTTAATTACTTTACAAGCAATCTTATTTCTCTGTGTGTTTGTAATCAATTCTCAGGGTGGCAGTCTGTGAAAAGAAAGATAAGTCACGTGATCATTTCTGACCAATCATGAGGTCAGAATGTGAACAATAGAAGTTTGAGTTTCAGCAGCAGCAGTCAGTCGGTCGAGAAAGTTGAAGAGATGAACAACTAAAGCTAGCTCCATTTTCCC